GTTCCCGCTCCGGCGACGCCGCGCGCGGGGCCGGCCGCCTGGGACGTCGCCTACTACCTGCTCTCCGACAGCCTCTGCGTCTGGGTGAGCGGCCGGGCGCCTCGGGGGGGGGGGACACTACCACTCCCGTCATCCCCAGCCTGCGCGGTCCGCGGCCGACCCTTCCGGAGGGGACGGGCTGAGCGGGACGGGACGGGCCGGCTGCCGGTCTGGGGCGGCATGGAGGTCCCCAGTCTCCTCTCCCGCCCCCACCCCGCGAGGGCTTCTGCTGGGGCCCCTTGGGGAGCGGTGGGCGAGGGAACGCCCCGAAAGGCTGGGGGTGTCAGTGGGGCAGCGCAGGAGAAGCCCCGGGGGCCGAAGCAGAGGGTGGGATGGAGGCGGACGGGCCAGGCGCGGGCTCAGATGGGGTGCAGAGAGCGGGTTGCAGGGCAGCGTGAAAGGGGATGCTGGGTCTCGTGGTACTTGACTTGCAATTTCCCTCTGCCCTGGCCAGTTGATGGCAGGGCTTAATTGCACAAAGCTCCTAAGACTGCCTTGGGCTAGGAAGGCTGGAACATCCCAGTTTGGCTTGCACTGAATCAGACCGTGGGTCCTGCTAGCCCTGTATGGCAACAGTGGGGCAGTTCACATGATGAAATAAGCCATCATGGGGTGCGCTGCACACCAGTGGCCATTTTGAATACTTAAGCAGGGATTTGCCAAGTCCAGACCCATGGCTCGTTCTAGGCTGGGCTGTCCCAATCATGCCAACTGCGCACCCCTGGCCCTGGCTTGCCAAGACCTCAAGAAGGTTTCTTTCTGGCCCTACCTGGCAGTGCTGGAGGTGGAGCCTAGGAGAGTTGGCCTGCAAAGCAGATGCAGGTCCCCGCTTGGCTTGTTCTCTGCGAACAACCAGCTTGCGTCTGTCTCTGTATTTGCTCCATGGGCTTGTAGAAGCTCTCCAGGTTTGCAGACTGGCCATCTTCTACTCCTCTAACCTAGAAACAGGGCCAGCTCCCAGGTCCTTGGGCAAAACACCCTTCAGGGGTCCCCTCTTTCAGCAGGTTTAGCACCCCATCGCTGTGGTTATCAGCAGCTGAGGACTGCAGGTCGTTTCCACCATGTGATGAAACATGGCACCTGGGATTGTGTAGCAGTCCTTGCCCAGTGCTGCCCTTAGTCCAGCAAGCCAGGAATTGCCTTGCTTTTCACATATTTAAATAACACCCCACCCTTTAGGGAGTCCATTCGCATAGGGCAGCTCAAAATGCCAGTTGGCAGTATTTAAGACCGCCCAACAATTATGTAAGATCGAGTGTATACCAATGTAAAATAGCACCTGGCTGGAATAAAAGAAGGTCTTAGGATTCTCTGAAAAACCGGAGAGGGGACCATATTAATTTCCCTAGTTGAACGTATTCTGGATTGATGGCACCTTCACAGAAAAGACTGCTAGCTTCTTTAAAGAGTCTGGCAGCAATGTTTCAGGGCACGGTTACAAGGCCTGGGAAGGTTGATCCTTTTGATGCACGAAGTTGCACAGGTTAAAAGTAGCACCTTAAACACGAAGGCAGCTGGTGCAGAATAGGTGTGATAGAATCCGAATCCCTGGTTGGAGCTGGAGGAGGGCAGAGGGGGCAGATGACCTCACCTGACCTCCATGGGCCATCTAACAGCAGGACAATGGCCGGATAATTCTCTCCAGGCAGCTGCCAAGATCGGGCTTTGCTGTGCCTGCCCCAGGCGCCTCCTCTGGGAGGGAAGGAATGCAGGGCGGATCAAGCTCCCAAAATTTTCCCTGCCAGCTTTGATCAAAGACTGGGGAAATAACAGGGATTCCTCACTGAGCCACCTCACAAGGTAGCCAGTAAACCCCTGGCCCGATGGAGGGGGTCCAAGGCTCCATGGGCTGGATGGACAAGCCTGGCCAGCCAGAGAGGTCTAGGAGGCCGTGTTCTAGGCTGCCCCGCAGTGTTTGCGCCATCTCATTCTACACGAGCGCAAGTTTTGGAATTCAGGGCAGTGCCGTGCTGAGCTCGTCACAGTAACGTAACCCAGAATGAGCCCGGGCATGGGTTACGGAAGCAGTCTGAGTTTGTCCAGATAAGCTGCAACTGGTCCACCAGCCACTTCTGGCTGCTGCCAATATTGGCACTTCCGCAGTCCTGAGTCCAAGTTGTGCAATGTAGTCCAGACCCAGCTGCCTCCCACCTTCCAGATCTCGTATCTTGTGTCCCTTCCCTTTGAGTGACTTTTCCCAGGTCGCCTTGGCAAGATGCCATTTGCACCGTTCCCAGCAAACTGAAGGAAAGCCCTAACATGGTTATTAATTGAAACCTATATAATGTAGATAAGAACCCACATTTCTTGTGCTACTTTGATCTCTTTGGAATAAAGCCTCCTAAATCCAGATTAGCATTGTTTTATGCATATGGAACATGCGAGAAGTGGGGACATTTCTAAGAGTTACTTTTAGGCTATTAAACTGTGTGTGTGGTTAACATTGGCAGTAGGATGGCTGGAATTCTTCTTGATAAAAATGGACAGAACGCTATCATTTAATTAGTGCCGGCAGTGTTTTAAACCTTAACATCATACTTCTGTAATTAAAAGAGCTGACTGCCATTGGATTCAGGGGTGATACAGATGTAAATGCTAAGAACATGGCAAGATGGAAGGGGTATCTTGCTATCTATACATTTTAAGTGTGCTTCTCATTCCTTGTCCTCAGACCTGTTAGCTATCCTAGTAATAGCAACTTGAAAAGTCTAAGAAGATTACAGCATGGACCTACAGTTTTTTAAAAATTACAGCTTACATCAAAAGATAGCTTTTTCTTTATATAGTTGACCAGACGATCTAAATGCTATAACCTCTGCATATTGAGAATGTCAGTGAATCACCAACAAGTGTGTCCAGCGAGAGATCTTAGTAACAAGAGTAGGAAAAGTTGAGCAAATAGATCTCAGTATTGCTTACTTCTTAGAGACGGAAGCGGTGGACGTGGCTAGAGTTTGATTGTGTGTTTCCTGTAGAAATTGCTATGCTGATTAAGGGGGAAATGACTGGAGGGATTTCTGGAGCAAACATGGCAGGGGTGAGAGATGGAGAGCCTTTTCTCCATCCATTGCCCCCTCCCAGCATCTGTGCCAACCCGTGAAATTTTCCTAGACCATTTCCCTGCCACAAGACTTGCTTCCACTGTCTGGATCCTGAGAAAAAGCAGGGAAGCCATGGAGTGGCCTAAAATAGAGTACACTTATCACATTGCTATTCTGCAGTGGAAATTGGAGTATGGTCTGAAGGCACCTATGGTAGCCACCATGTGGAAGCTAAGCAGGCCTGGGGCTGGCCCAAGCTTGGAGGAGAAACCACTTGGGTGCATGAAGCTGCAGTGGGAGAAAGGTGGGATATAAATATAAATAAATATATACATAGATAGATAGATAGATAGATAATTTGCCTCTGTCTCACTGTTTTAAAACTGTTTGGCTGCAACCTGCATGCAAGTACCTGGGCTGCTGCTGCTCATTCACCAAACAGGCTGAATTCTCAATTAATTCCACTATTATGAATGAAGTAACAGCTTATTTTTTGGCCCACATTGAAGACAACTGGCTTTGTATGCGTCCCCTGGATTGTTTAGCCTACAGCCCTAAGGATATGCCTGTATGATCCATTTTATGCATTTGTTTTTATGTTTAAGCCTTTATTGTCTGTGAAGCATTTTATGAATTTATTTATTTATTTATCGATTTATATCCTGCGTTTTTCCTACAAAGGGCTCAAGGCAGCTTACATCATCTCTCCTCCTCCATCTTATCCCCACAACAACAACCCTGTGAGGTAGGTTGGGCTGAGAGTCTGTGACTGGCCCAAAGTCACCCAGTTGGCTCCATGGCTGAGCAGGGACTCGAACCCGGATCACCTGAGTCCCAGTCCCGTACTCTTCACCACTGCACCACACTGGCTCTCAATTGTCATAGATAAATCACTAGCAACGTTACTAAAAGAACTGAAGTGCCTGAAGTTAGGGATGTGCACACCTTGCTCGTAAGAATGATTTAATTTTTAAATGTGGAAGTGCAGGATTTCCATCATTCCCCAGAACTCGCTCTCTGGCCTTAAATAGGCAATTTGAAACTGCTTGGTGCTAGTGATGCATCTTGCTATCTGGTTTACCAACCAAAGACTTGAGTCCTGGCAACTCTGAGCATCGTTCATTTCAGCTGAAAACCTTTGTGGCAAACCAAGCTTCTTCAACTCCGCAGAGCAGGCAGTTTAGCAAAAGATCAAGGGTGGCTTCATACAGTAACAATGATGCAACTGAATAAAATAAGCCAAAAATACAAAGTCAAGAAGCAGTTGTCCGTATTTGCTTCTGGGGCTAGAACAAAGGTGATGGGTGGATGAATAAGCCTCATTATGTTATGTCGTGAATGACGGGTAATTGGCACTCCTCTGTTTCCTTGTGGGACAAATAACAAGATCTGTGGCTGGTTTTGGAAATGGCGTATAGAGACAGGAGAGATTTAGATTAGACCCGCAGGACTGGGGGATGCGTTTGAACCTTTCCTCCCATGTGGTTTTTCCTGTTGGATTCCCGCCCCCCCCCCCCCCCCCGTTGGCCAGACAACTTGGACCAAATAACAGCTCTCTAAATACTGGCATGTCTTTCTTTATATGGCAAAAAATTGGAGAGAGAAATCAGGAGAGCGATGTGTGCTGGAAAGGCTAAAGCCCCCCTTTTCCCAGTGCCACCGTCACAGTCAAGTATGGTTCCTAGTTGCCACACCAGTGTCTGTTTGAAGGGGTGTTGGTTCAGGATTGTTTTGCATTCACAACCAATATGAAGGTCTCTTTGGTTTGCCTGTTCACAGAATTAGTTTACTAGAAAGCTAGTTGTGCTAATCTGTTGTTGCAGCAAAATTAGCAGAGACCCTTGAGGACTAATAGATATATTCTGTCTATAGGCAGAACAGTAGATGTATAAGAAAAATATATACTCTGGTAAACATATGCGCTGGCTTGAGTTTTCGTGGACATTGCTGCTTCATCAGATGCATACAAAGTGCTGTTGAAATTAGGAAGAAATAAGATTTCTGTGGTGTTGTCAAGGGGTACTGGAAATCCAGGCCATGCCGCCAGTCTTAATATTTGCTATTTAAATTGTTGAGCCATAAGACAGACAGCGTTGCAGTTAACATACATCGTATAATGACTTTTAAAGGCCTTGTTAATGCAATCAGCAGCAAACAGAGTTTCATCTCTTGCAGGATTGTACGTAAGCAATTTTGCAATCCCTTTGTCCATCCATGGGAGACGGCCGTGTCCCTCCCCCCCCACCCTCCCCCGCTGCTGGTTTCTTTTCCCTGTGTTAGATTTGTGCTCGTTTATACTTTTGTCAAAGAGATTTGCATCCATTTATCTTTAGCGCAGAGGCTGGTTGCTTTGTCCTACATTGCGGTGGGCCATCGCTGGCTAATGGTGACATATATCACATTGAAAGGTGTAGCAGGTATATGGAGCCTGAACATTGTAGACTGCATAACTGGGTCCAGGAACTGGCAGGATAGACAGACGGGGCAAATTCACAGATTCATTCAGTTAATTGGCACTGCATTCTCAGCTCCCTCTTCTTTCTTCTTCATACTGAGATAATGAACGTGGGATTCGCTTACCTCCAAATGAAACAGAGGCAATAAAAAGACATTGTGGTTGTCCCTGTTTAGCTAAGCACGAGGCTTTGGCTATTGATTCCCGACAGCTTTGTTCTTGAGGCTCTTTCAGGAGGCTGGCCAAGCGCCTTACCAGGAAAAGGGTGACCCAAGCTGGCCGTAAGCCCCACACAAATTCTCCACTCAGCCGTAGCAGAACCAGAAGGGCTTTGGTGTCAGGAAGACCTCCCTTCCCTCAGAGCTGAACCTAGCTGTGAATATATTTGGTTGGGGTGGAGGTTTAGGAAATAGGGCCTGATGGAAAATAAGGTGTAAACAAGCTTGTACCAAACCAGGTCCATGGGTCCACTTTTTATGGTCATACCCTGGGCAGTTCCCCAAATTTCAAAACATGCCCATGGGCTGAAAATGCAGCTTGCCCCCGACGTTAATGCAGCCACAGAAAGACGGAGAGAGTTCCAGACTTCCATCCTCTGGTACCAGCAGGTGCTTTGAGTGGGCAGCTTGAACGGTTCTTGACATCTAACAAGCATTTGGTTGGCCAAAACGGTCCATGGGATCCAAACCCACGGAGTTTGAAGATTTGTTCAAGATTTTATTTTGTTCATCCTGAGACTTACCCAAATATATTTTATGTTTGTTCCAGGTATTAGTGAATACTGCATGCTGCATTCTGATGTTGATCGCTAAGTTAATACAGAGTGTTGTGTTTGGTCCTCTCCGAGTTAGTGAAAGACAGGTAAGCAACATTTGGCCGCCTTGCAGGTCTTGCTGAATAATTTTGTGGCCTGTTGCTGATGGCTTAATAGTCTGCACAAAATATTTGTTCTGTACACTGCAGAGTGTTAAAGTGTTTGTGGTGACTGAGGCAAGCAAGGCGACACCAAAAGAGAATTTTGCCAGTCTGGGGACAAAACAACCTGATTTAATGTTGTGTTCAGAAGAGGTTTCAACGGTACCAAAATGTCTTGACAGGACAAAATTCTAAATTTCGAATAAATCTCAAGCGATGCCTGCCTGCCAACTGTCGTTTCGTGTCCAAATGTTTATGAAAATAAAAGCTATGTTGTTTATAGGAATCTATCTTACGACATATTTTTATATTTGGCATCCCATGTTAAATGAAGTATCCATCCATAAAACTTCATATAAAAGGGATTTTTTAAAAAATCCCCCAAATCCCTCTATCTGGAAAGACGTGTACCTTAAATGTTCCACTATGTGATACAATTACTCGTACATTTATTCAGGTCTCTAGATTATCAGGCTCTTAAATTCTAATTTTGACCACTATCCAACTTAAAACACGTGGGCAGGATTTGGCGAGGTTCAGAGTCCTGCAGGAGGCTCAGGATGGACCCCTAAAACTGCATGTTCGTTCTTTTTCAGCATCTCAAGGATAAATTTTGGAACTTCATCTTCTACAAGTTTATCTTTATTTTTGGTGTGCTCAACGTCCAGACGGTAGAAGAAGTGGTCACGTGGTGCCTCTGGTTCTCTGCTCTCGTCTTTCTGCATCTCATGGTTCAGCTCTGCAAGGACCGGTTTGAATATGTAGGTTCCTTTTGCTGGTGGCTCGGGGCTGGGAACGGGGACCTCTCGGTGCAGGCACTCTCCCCCCCCCCCCCGAGAACCCTGGATCACGCAGATTGGTTTGCACGCTTCGTCTTTTGCTTCAAGTTGTCAAGGATGTGGGCTCCTTGACAAAGAACTGGAAGGGATCATGGGGTGAGGAACTTTGTCCGGCCTGAACGGGACGAACCCTTTTGGAGACGCTTTGGGGCCATGTTCAGAGGCACACGGGGCTTGAGGCAAAGGGGCTGGCTCAATACCAACCAACACAGCATGTCGCAGCTTAATGTTCATATTGCCAGCAACCAAGCACAAAGGAGAGGCATTTTAATCTTTCAGGAGGGAAAAAGTGCTGCACAAAAGCTTGGAACCCTCAAAGATGGGTGGATGGAAGAGGAGAGAAGGGCCGGCTGAAGGGGAAAGGCTGTCTGGGGAACACAGCCGTGCAAACAAACCATGGTTTGTTTGCTATGAACAACACGTGGAGCGAACCCAGGGTTTGTTGTTGGGTTGTCAGCTGTGGGTTGTTCATCCTGGCTCATAAGCATGGCTGGGCTTAGACAACACAATAACTCCAGTTTCAGCAGTAATCCATGCTTCAACAATAGCGCATGTTTCAGTGGCAACCCGCACTCGGCCCATGCGCAAACTGGGTTATGCTGTCTCAAGCCAGTCACTGTGGTGTTGCTGTTGCTGTGAATTGCTTTTCTCTGCTGCCCAGTTCAAGGTTTCTGGGCAGTTCACAGCATGAAGTCTCCCATCCAGATTCCAACCAGGCTTGAACCTGCTTAGCTTCCAGGCTAATTAGGCAGTATCCAGCGCTTCAGGCTACACGGAAGCTTGCATGCAGTGTTAGGCTGTGTTGCTAGATATGGTAGGAATTGGATGATCAAGGGGTCCATGCTGGCTTAAGCGCCTGCAGGATCCACTGTGCTGAAACATGGATGTCGGCTTCGCTACAAGGCCAAGCTGGGAAGTCCTTTGGGGGCCGTAGCTGGCGGCGTCAGAAGACAAGCTGGGCGACGGCCGCGTTCTCACCCGCTCTCTCGTCCTCGCAGCTCTCGTTCTCTCCCACTACGCCGATGAACAGCCATGCCCGGGTTCTGGTCCTGCTCGTGGCCATGCTGCTGTCCTGCTGCGGGCTGGCGCTGGTGTGCGGCGGCGTTGGATGCGCCCACGGGATGCACACGCTGTCCTTCATGGCGGCAGAGGTGAGGCTTCCGGGTCCGCCCGCTGTGGCTCGCTTGACGTCTTCTCATCGGCCCTGCTTTATCAGTGCAGTCCTTTAAAAAAACCTTTTAGAAAGTTCTTTCACTAGAGCATATCGGAAATTATGAATCCATCATAAAGTACAATCCTAGAATAGTCAAGTTGGAAGAGGCTATGATGGCCATGGGGTCCAGCCCCCGGCTGTTGCAGGACACCACGTTACACCCTCCCTCTCCGGTGGCTGCCCAGTTTCTCTTTGAATGTCTCTCGTGCGGGAGAGCCCACCGCCTCTCTGAGCAGCTGGTCCCACTGTCGTATTGCTCTGGCAGTGAGGAAGCTTTGCCCGATGTCCAGCCTGAATCTGGGTTGTCAAAACTTGAGCTGATTATTCTGTGTCCTACACTCTGGCATCAGCAAGAAGAGATCTTGACCTCCCTCTTTGTGACAGCCTTTGAGGGACTTGTAGGGTGATCTCATGTTCCCCCCTCAGTCTTCCCTTCTCAAGGCTGAACATGCCCAGTTCTCAGTCTCCCCTCACAGGGCAGTGCTTCCAAACCCTGGGTCATTTCTGTTGCCCTCTGCTGGATCCCCTGCATCTTCCTTAAATCTTGGTGCCCAGAACTGGACACAGTATTCCAGATGAGGTCTGACTAGTGAGGAGCATGGGTAAATTACTACCTCTCGTGATTGGAAGTAATACTTATGCCAGTGCATCCCAAAATAGCACTTTTCCCTTTGGCGGCTGCACTGCATTGTTGGCTCCCATTGAACCTGTTGTCCACGTTACTCTGAGGACTTTTTGTTTTGCGGTTCTGTTGAGGAATGGCTCTCATTACAGAATTGGGGAATAATCCGATACTTTGGATTTTTGGGGTGGAAGCAATGGGGGTTGAAAGCAATCAACACTTTGTTGTGTGAACTCAGCAAAGCTCAGACCAGTAGATGTGCAATTGATGAATGCAACCCATTTTAAACACCAGCTCACTGTGCCCATTAAATGTTAATATTCTTGCAGTTTTTGGATATTTTGCTTTAGAAGGAATTACAGCATTTATTCATAGCTGAGGCCATAGGTCCCGTGGTGGCCACTAGTCCTTTAAATTAAGTAGCCCAAGGGTCCCTGGTCATTTGGAATGTGGAGCATTTGTTGTGGGCACTGTCACAAAATGGTTGCTGTGATGGACCTGTCCAGTCACAAAACATTTACTCCCTAGGAGGCATACAGGTGAGACTAAGAAAGAATAACTTGCACCCAAATCCAGTCAGGCAAGGGAGGGGGCATGAGGTCCAACCCCCCACCCCATGCCTCTTTTAAACATACAGTTCTCTGCTCCGACACCCATTTCACAGAAGGCAAACTGATGATGCTCAGAGGAACACATGCAGCCAGAACAGCCACTCGCCACGCACAAGGCAGAACCACACAAGCCAGCACACGCCCCAGGTTAAGAAACCCAGTCGGTCCCCTCACACCCACTCAGTGCAGCAAAACGTGTGCGTATATGTATACAAATACACAGTGTTCCTATTCCTTTTGAGATAAGTTCAGTGCATCTGTGGAGGTTACTGTTTGTATGTTACTTCTTTTTTGTTCTTCTGCACATGTGCCTGTGCTTTTGCTGTTGTGTTCTCAGTTGTGTTTCATTGATGTTTGGTTTTGCTGAAAGATTGTAAAAATCAAATAAAAATCTCACACACAGAGAGCAAGAGCGAGCAAGCGCACTTCTTAGCACTTGCTGGGTCCCAGCACACTTTTTTCCTTTTCCTGGGTGATGCTTCACACTTGGGCTGCCACGTCACTTTGCATCACACTGGTCCCTTGATTTTTCTTAATTACAAAAATCTAAATATTAAAAAGGAAGTAAGAAAAAAATCAGACACTACCATTGTTTCCTGTTCTGTACACCCAGCTTACTGGGCAAATGGTCTTCATTTTTGCCTTCCGAGGAAGCGCTACTCCAAACAGCATCCCTTTTCCCCAAACCATTTTTCGTTGCCTAGGCATTCCTTTGCTCACTCCCCAGATATTGCAGATCTGAAAGGATCTGGTGGGTCATAGATTCTGGGAGCCAAACAGTCCTGGTGTCTCAGCTCTTTCCTAATGCACCCATTTGCACAGGCCTCTTTGTGTCACTGCTTTTTCACTGCTGGTACTTGTTCCAGCTTCTTGAAGTGTGTCAAAAGACTGGATGCATGGAGAACACCCTGCATCTCGCTCATACCTCCTTGATGGATATGACCCAAAGTCACCCTGGCTTCCCATGGGTGGCGCAGCGTTCTTGCATCATGTTCGCCATGTCGTCTGTTTTGATGACCTTCTTTTCTTTCATCATTCTTGCTAGGCAGACATTCTAAGAAGCAGTCTTGCCTTCTGGCTGTTCTTCATTGCTCTTGATCCAACTCAGTTCCCCTAGTTTTACTTTGAATTTTGACTTTGCCTTCCCAGAACTTACTTCCTGGTTTAGCTGCATTAGAAATAGCTTTTGTTTCCTCGTTTGTCATTACTGAGTTTGTTGCATAATGTTCTCTTCCTTGATTCCTTTTGGCAACCTGGTGCCCTCCAGATTGGTAGGTCTTCAGTTCCCAGAATCCCTATGGTAGAAGGGGCTTATGAGAAATTCTGAAGGACACCAAGCTGCTGCCCTGTCTTTTCCCTCTATGGTATGGTTCTAATTTAGGTTAGAAAATTCTCTGGGAATTTTTCTGGTGCCCCAGATTGATGAAGCTCCATCTTAATGGGCTTACTTGACTTAGTTTTAGTGAACAATCTAAAAAGAAAGAAAAGTCATTTTAGTCTTGCATACTGTGTAAGCATCTCAACAGTTGTTTCAATACTCGGAAGTACTTTAAGTGAGATACTTTGTTAGGAAAAACATTCAGTAGGACACCCTTAAATTTATGTTGTATGACTGTCACATTCAGACAGTTTAGCTGGAAACAGCGGCAGAGGATATATTTATATTATTTAGCTATTAAAAGCAAATATTGAACGTACTGAAAACTGTTTGCACGGTTTTGTCATGCTTGAGGAGTTACTTCACAGATGTGGTTTTCTGAAAAACATTAGATCCAGACTTCCTCCTGTTTGTAACAGCTTCACTGAAATGCACATTTACTTTAACTCCCATTGACCTCAGTGGGTCTTTTCTAAAAGGGATCAAGGCGCAGTCCTGTCCGGTCTGTCTGCCAGGCTGGCTAGGAATTGCTGGCAGTTTCAGATTCCTCTCCCTAGAAAAATGCAAAAGAGCACACCTGAATTGATGGATCCAGCCCATTAATTAAAACACTGATCTCCTGGTGTTTGACTGGTGTCGCATCTGTTCCAGTTGTCCAGTTTGACTTGCTACTAATTCATTATGCTACTAATTAACGTTACAGAACAATGACCCACTTTGCACAGCCCGACAACCTACCATGGATTTAATTTCCCGCTGGGGCAGGTGCATCATGCTGAACTCCCGTTGGTTCTGGCTTGCCATGGCTTGGCTTGTTGTCTGAACCCAAGTGGCTGGGATCGCTTGAGGGTGCACAATCCTCCAATAGCCCATGGCTTGTTTGGGTGTTCCTTCGGGCTTTCTCATCCCTGCCTCCGAGGCTTGTATGTCACAGCAAACCAGGTTGCCGACTTGCAAGAATGGCACCCGTGGTCATTGGAATAGCACCCTCCCCCGCCTTGAATGCATTCTCTGCCCCGGCCGTGTGCAGGAGGGGCTGCTAGATTTCAAGCAGCGGGTTTAGTGGTAGGACAGTCTTGGTCCTCTTCCCAAGAGCCCTTCGTGGCACTGCCTCATGAAGAACATGCGCCTTTGGAACAGCAGAGGCTGATCAAATGCATCAGTTTAAAAATTCAGCCACCGTGCAGTCCTGTGCACGCCTAGGTAGAAATGAAATTTAAAAATTCAGCCACCGTTTAGGTCCCGTCAGCCCCATACAATTAAATTAGGAACAGAACGAATACAGGATGAGTCAAACTGGACAGCCAGAATGCGTGCAAGCTAGTCAGATCTAGAACAGATGCTGTAATTAATGGGTTGTAATTAGAGGGAAGGATTCATGATGTGGAGTGCACTTCTATGCTTAGATGGCAAAACGTCCTGGACCTTCCAGCATTTCCCTGTCAGCATGAGGGGTGTGGGACTTTTTCCTGGCTAAACATGTCCTGGGCTGAATCCTCAGTAACAACAAATGCATCCTACTTCACTGGCGCTGAGTCCAGCGCAAACGTCCGCAGGGCTATGAGCCCGCAAATAGGAAATTAGTAGGAAGCCAGATTTTCAGAAGCACCATTTCGTGGTGCAAGTGTTCTGCAGACAGCTGAATTCAGATGTCTTTCATGGGCTGTTCTAAACCCCTTCTTTGCAAGCGTAACCATTCATGCAGTCTGATGCAAGCGCCGTTAGAGCATGAGGAAGTTGCCCAGTTTCATGGCAACTTCATTCTGTGATCCTACAAAGCAGATGGCGGAGTTGCGTTTGAACTGGCTGTCGGGGCAGAGCATGGTGGGCCTGTGTATGCAGCAGCTCCTTCGGCTCTGAACGTTGTAGTTGAGTGGTTGAAGCGTTGGACTGGCATCCAAATGCCAAGCCCCCGGTTGGCCAGAAATTTCGCCGGGTGGCTTCGCACCTGCTGCCACTTTCTTGCCACACCATTGGGAGAGGCGTGTGCGAGCCCCTTTGCATTCCTTGGAGGGGGAAAGGTGGGGTATAAATGCAATGGATCAGTGCCGCATTGCCCTCGCCATTGGCTTGCTGGGGGTACCTGTGTCCTGTCTTCCCTAAAGCAGTGAAACCTGTTCACAAGCTCCCTTCTGGTGCTGTTCTGTCTCTCGGGGAAGACAACCCTTAGCTGGGCTGTTGTTGGCAGCCGAGGAGTCAGACCGATTTGCTCAGCTTGCCCCTTCCCTTATCTTGGCAAGAGGCAAGAAGGCAGCAAGGACCGTAACCAAGAACTTGATGTGGCATCCATGATACCCTGTCCCGCTTTAGCCCTCCCGGTTCGCGTCTCTGGCATCTAGTCTTTGATCCAGCCAGTGACTTGCTTCTCGCTTTTGTTCCCTGCAGTCGCTGCTGGTCACCGTGAGAACCGTGCATGTGATTTTGCGGTAAGTAAAGGAGGTTTACGCACCTGCGGATGCTTTAAGGTGTTTCTGGCAGAGGGAATGTCTATGCACTTGGTTTTTGTGCAGTTGCAAATTCTTTTGAGGTTGCAGTTTTTGCCAGCTGGTTGCAGCGGGCTGCAGAATCTCAGACTGGAAGACCCCCCTGGCGGTCCCTCTTAGGGCTGTGCCCACTCCCACCCGGCCTGGCCTCCCATCCTTGAGTGGTCTTCCCACTTCTCAAGCAACGACTCATGTGTGTGTGTGTGTGCGTGTTTGCACGGTAGCCCACATTTGCAAGCTCATTTATAATAAGAACCGGAGTGGCGTAGTGGCTACGAGCGCGGGACTGGGACTCAGGCAATCCGGGTTCTAGTCCCCGCTCAGCCACGGAGCCCACTGGGTGACCTTATGCCAGTCACAGACTCTCGGCCCAGCCTACCTTGCAGGGTTGTTGTGGGGATCAGATGGTGAGCAGGAGGAGCAGAATGGAGTAAGCCACCTTCTGTTGTTTGAAAAAGAAAAAAGGCAGGATAGAACTCTAGCCAATTAGTGAAAACACAATGTTTATTCTATGCACACACACATTTATATATTCATGCCCCCAGTGACCTTTTGCAGGACCCCAAGCCTGCCTTCCAGGAGTGAAGTCCTCTCATCATGGGGGTCTGTTGAAGTCAAGCCCTGGGTGCAGCGCCAAACATCTCTTGCAAAGAGGCCCCAACGGGCTGCATGTGCAGAGCTCCAGAGCATGGCAGGCGCACAGGATCCTTGCCACCCAGCTTCATGCAAGGCCAGCGGTGCATGATACATGTGTGCATTTTGTGCAGGTGGTTCAGGCTTGAGAAGAGGCTTGTGGCTCTTCGGGCTGAGCGAGCGAGGCGCTGACGCTTTGCCCATTTCTTCTCCCGCATCTTCACCCGTAAACTCCAGCTGTGCCGCCTGAGTCCCTACTTTCAACCTTGCTTCAGTGTGTGTACAAACAGAACCCTTGCCCAGGATGACAATTCCTTATAATTCATTCATTTATCAAAAATGTGTACCGTCATTCATTTAAAAAAAAACTCATGATGGTTTGCCATTAATTCAACAGTGAAGCGATTAATATGCATGTCCTGCCTCAGCTGGGGCTGCTTTGGTGCTCTGCACTTGGCTTTGTTCTTCCCAGCTTGGCTAGGTGAGAAGAGAGATGTTCCCATAAACCTCTGCCTGGATTCTTGGTGCCTGCAGTCCTGGTTGATAGGATTAATCAAAGCAGTCAGCTGCGCAGGTGTGCCCCAAAGTGAGCCAAGATCGACTCGTCTGCTGCTTCTCTTTGTTTGTGAAACAAGCGAGACGCTGTTCAGATAATACAAGGGTCTCTCTCTCTCCCTCTCTCTCTCTCCTTGGCCCAGTTACATCATTCATCTCTGGGATCTTAACCATGAAGGGACCTGGGAGAGCAAGGGGACCTATGTCTATTACACGGATTTCGTCATGGAATTGACGCTCCTGTCGCTGGATCTGATGCATCACATTCACATGCTGGTACGCTGGTGTCTTCCTTTGCAGCAGCCTTCCCCAGCCTGGTACCCCTCAGAGGCATTTGGACCGCAGCTCCCGAAATCCCCACCTAGCAGGGCCGTTGTCCACAGGATGCAAAGAGGCAGCCTTCTCGCTCGAATCCCCGATGGTGCCGTGGAAGGCACTTAAGGTGCAAAAGGAAAGGGAAGGAGGTTGAATACTTGGAGGACGTGTTAGCCGCTAGGGAGAGTCAAAAGCTAATCCTGTCAATGATTCTAAGAGTGTGAGAAATGAAAGCTGACACACACCCGAGTGCAGAAGGGAAAGAGTGAGCTGAGATAACTAGAAGCAGGTCTGGTCAAAGGACATTCAGGAGAGGAAGGATCTGCGAGTGAGGGGTGATTATGAAGGATCAGGATCAATCAGAAGTTTTTGTTATGCACTGTTTGATTCACCAAGGAAATAACTTACTGAACATCTGGAAGCCAATATGCTCCTAGGACAAATAAAGTTTTATTTTGTTTCTTGTTAACTTGGAGCCACAGGCTGTTTGAATGCCAGTGCCTCGTCCTCAGGACCGCTTCATCCAGCGAAGGATCCCTACAGCTTGGGTACAATCTGGTGGGAGAGGTTAATTTATAAGATTGCAATTAAATTCCTGGTGGGAGCATTACATACTGAGAGAAAGGTGGGAGAGACGTGCCACTTCCCAAGCAAAGTATGGAAGAGCACTCGTGGCGGCTGGCAAATCTTTCCAGCTGTTTGGGGAGGCAGAATGCACAGCTGGCCTTCGGAGCAGGGCGGCCGAGCAGAGTCGCTGGTAGCGAAGGCTTGCCAGCATCATTCAAGGAGGGAGCATGAGAGAATCGCTTTCATCTGCCATGCGGCAGAGAAGATGAGCTGCTTCCTAAAGTGGGCTGCGAATTGCTTCTGTGGCAGCGTGACCTACTGTGGTGAAAACCGCAGGTTAGCTGGGTGGATCTCGAGAAGCATTTGGCTGTGGGGTGCGCACCTTTCTTACCCCGTATCCGTTAAACCGAGAGGCGCATGAATACAAGCCGAATTTCGTTGCCGAGATAGGCAAGGTGTGATTGTGAACTCACCCGCCTACTCTGTTTCATCTCATTTTCGTATCGCCCAGTAGCTGCAGCTGCTCGCAAGATTTGTGCTTGTTGTCGCGTGCGGTGTTGCTTCCCTGCTTCCTTTACATCTCCCAGGCCGCTTCTGAGATGCCGTGTCCGTGGGCAGGGATTCCCCCTTCCCTCGCACTGGGAGGAGCGAGGAAGGACTTCTGCTAGGACGCCCCCGTGGAGCTCTGTAAGGCAGGAAAAGGGATCGCTTTGCTTTGACACCTTCAGAAGGCAGCTTGCGGAGGTGCCCTGCCTGCAGCCGCCCAATTCCCTCGCTTGACGTATCACTGCTGTGCCCTGCGCTTGTGACATCTCCCCCCCTCTTGTTGGTTCGCTTGGCAGCTCTTCGGCAATATCTGGTTGTCAATGGCCAGCCTGGTGATCTTTATGCAGCTGCGTTACTTGTTCCACGAGGTTCAGCGCAGGCTTCGCCGCCACAAGAATTACCTCCGGGTGGTTGGAAACATGGAAGCAAGGTGAGTGCGCTACCCTAATGGAATAGTCCCGGTACGGGCGGGAAGGGGCCGCTGCCCACTTGGGTTAGTGTCCCAACTGCCTAGGAAGGGCCAGAGTGCGACCCCTGGGATTCCGGTCTCCCTGAACAGACAGAATAATCCGAAGCAGCGCGAGAATAGTTGGTGCCCAGTGAGATTAATTAACCACACAAGAAGAATGGTTGGCAGAGTGTATTGAATTTAATTAGCTTGACATCATCTGGGAGGAGGCAGGGAGCTCTGAGTAATGACATTCCTTGTATTGATTGGGAGGCACCGCCGAATTAAGGAAATTCGCCAAGCGGATGTTCTAGGTCAGCTCTACTGAGCTGCGAGTAAATAAACGCCTGGGCAGCCATCCTTCCTGTGGCCTAAAGTGTATTCGACCGTTCCTTCACTTCGGTCTGTTTTTGCTGAGGTTCGCGTGTAGTGCTTAGAAAGCTCTCTTTCCCTCTGTGTGCATATAATTGATATATTTGAACCTTGGTAGCCACATTTTTCTTTCTTTTTTCTTGTATTGAGAATTTGCAATAAAGTTTCAATTTCTGAGTTTGCCCTGTGCAGGGTCCCTCTTGGGTGAGTTACACACAAAAAGCAAATACAGTGAAATGGCACTAAAAGTTAATGGCACATTGAACGTTTTTTTTAAGCTTTAAAAGCAGAAGCTGTGATTTAAAATAATTTTAAAGGAGTCAATAAATGGGCAGCTAAGTGAAGGAAAAATAACGTTAAAATGTAGCATTAAATAGAATGTTGAAAATAACAGAAGTAGCAGTTAAAATGTCTTTAAAGTCTTCTTTTACCCTCAACAGCATCACCTTCATTTCTGTACCACCCAATAGTCCGACATCTCTGGGCAATTCGCAAAAAATGTAGACTATAAGATACAGGGTAATAAAGTCTAGTATTAAATGTTTAAAAGTTCAAACAATTTGAACAACTGAACTATTTAAATAAAATACTAAACCTGGTAAAGAGAAATAATGTATATCTCCTGTCATATGCCATGGAAGTGCAGGGCAGTCTCAACATGGTCAGTACTGAGAAGATGACAGTCTTGGCTCCAGGCAGGCCTGATTAGGGGCCACCCATGAGAAGGCCCTGCCCTTTCTTGACACCTTTGGAGACTCAGCTGGCCTCTGGCAATGATAAGCAGGGCAGTGCATGACCTGGGGGCCTTTGCCTTAAAATCCTCCCGAGGAACCTCGGTATTTGCCGGCCCTCGGGCTGAGCCCAAACTCCCAGCGAAAGCAGTGCTGTAGTGCAGCGGAGGCGTCGCTCTCTAAGCCCTTTCCTTGCTTTTCTGTTCCAGGTTTGCAGTGGCCACTCCTGACGAGCTGGCAGCCAACAATGACGACTGCGCCATTTGTTGGGATTCCATGCAGGCTGCGCGGAAGCTCCCTTGCGGGCACCTCTTCCATAAGTAGGCTCCCTGGGAACACAGCCGGGGTGACGGTGTGGCGGGTGCGGGTTTTCTGCAAGCCATCGCTCCATTTGAGCTTTTTGCACTTTGTTTTTTATTGGATCTGGGTGCTTTTACTTGTTAATCGGTTTTCAGAGTTTCAATTTTTTTAAGGAGAAAAAAAACCTAGAAAACTAGTTTTTAAGGAGGGGGAAAACCCCAGGAAACTTGAAAAACTAGAATGCACTGCACCTGTTGCTGTGGATCCTTTGACCTGACTTTTGCAGTCTGAACCAAATCCTAGAAATGAATAAAGAGTGCACAAGCAGTTCAGTAAGCTCCGCGGAACAGGATTACTGTACTCCGTCTGCAGAATTGGACCCTCGGTCCATCTGGCCCAGTATTCTTGATGCTGATGGGGGTTCTCCAAGGTTCTGCACAGAGTTCCTTCCTAGCCCCACTGGGAGATGCCAAGGTCAGAGCCCGGGCCTTCCACATAGCCACGACCCTAAGAGCCACGCCGTGAATATTTGCCAGGGCTTCAAGACGCCTTTAATGAGAACATTAGTCCCTCCTAGCAAACACCCCCAGTCCCGGGAGGCCTGGGCATGCCAGTGCAGAAGCTCTCTCCTGCATACCTGAAGAGCACCTGTGCTTTCTTCCCAGCTCAGAGGCCTCATCGGCAGTGCCTCTTGCATCCTCCGTCAAGGGTGAATATTGGGTGGTGGGGGTCACGCTGTACCTTGAAAGCCAGCTGGGCTGGGAAGACCTTGCCCTTGGGACTTCCCCGCATTGGTCGGAGCAGTCCCTTTCCTCCTGACCAGGTTTATGTGGGGATGATAGGCATTGTGAAGCTCTGGATGCAAGGGATTCTGGAAATGACGGATAAGTAGCCATATGCTATGAATGGGTTCGGGTAACTTGCCACTATCCAGGGGCTGCAAACACTGACCTATATTTCAATATCTACTTCAGTATTAATATGTATTTAAATGAATATAATGGCACTAATATATTTCACTTGGTTCAGCGTGCAGCAGCCTGCATTGCGTGGTTTGTGTCGCCCACTGGGTGGTCTGGGAGCCGTATTCAGGGGGCGACTTTTGAGCCCCGAATGGTCAGGGTCGAAGGTCTGTAGGGGAGCTCCCTCTCTCCTATTTATTTCTCTCCCTGTGAATTTGGGGAAAGTGGAGAGGCTTTGTCTCTCACCGCCATCTGTTTATGGTCGTCTTCCGCCGCCAAGACCCTGTCTTCGGAGGTGGCCTCTCTGTTGTGGAACACGCCCCAAAGGACCTTGTCCAGGTCTGTTCCATGTTAGGTTTTAGATGTCTGGATGAAGGTTTTAGACCAGGGGTCCTCAAATTTTTTCAACAGGGGGCCAGTTGAAAGGTGCCGGCGATGGGCGTGGGCTGCCAAGGCAGTGCGGGCGGGGGGCGCGGGCCGAGGCGAGGCAGGGGTGGGCGCTGGGAGATAGTTTTCTCCAAGCCAGTCCAAGGAGATCGTTTGGGACTCAATCAGAGAAAAGGACCTCCTTGTGAGCAAGCCGCCACATGGCGGGGCGCCGGCTTGCCATGCGTGCGCGGCGAGTCCCAAACCTCTATGGCAGGCTGGATAGATGGGCATGCTGGGCCGGATCCGGCCGTAGTTGGAGGACCCATGTTTTAGATGCTTGGACGAAGGTGTTAGATGCTTGGATGTCTGATCAGTCTTTCTAAGGTCTTGAGTTGAGGGTTTTAACCTTATATAAGCAATTTTTCTTTTGCATCCTTTGATTTTAAGTCCCTTGTAACGTGGGTGATGGATTTTTGCTGAGCTGTGCTGGGAGCCTTTGGTGGGAAACCTGGCGTATAAATATAACGGCAGGCACACTGGCGATGGTTTGGGGCGTCCAGGCATCTGAGCCTGGGCTGCTGAGCCTCTTCCAGCCTCGGGCCTCGTACTGTTTTGGGGCTGATGGAGCTTGAAGGCAAGCGGGATGGGGCCGACGTGGCGCCCAAGCTGAACTTCAAGTGCTTCCTGCTCCTGACTAAGCCTTAGGAGCAGCTTTTCAGAAGCGGGGGAGAAAAAACCAGTGCCGGGAAACCAGCGGACGGCTGGGAAAGCTGGTGGGGCCAGAGGAACCTTCGGGCCACCCAGAGAACTTCAGCAGTGGGGCGGGGTAGAAATGAGACAGAAGAATAAAGGGGCACGGCCCCGTGGGGGTCGCTGCTGAGCCAGAGACGATTCCAGGAGGGAAGGATTTGGCCTCCAAGCTGGAGATCCTTGCCACGTTTGACTTTTTAGGTTTTGCCTCTTTGCTGATGCGTGTTAGGCAGGCAGGTCTTTGGGGTAGACAGAGGCGGGTGAAGCTTGCATTAAATGAGCAGAGGAGACGTGCCGAGTGGAAGGTCTGCGGGGAAGCCGTTGCAGGGAAAGGAGCAGGCACAATCCGTTGCTTCTTCCGAGGGGGCGTAAACCTGCCACTGACTCCCTCCTAAGAGACCCCCTGTTCCTCGGCAGCTCCTGCCTGCGCTCCTGGCTGGAGCAAGACACCTCCTGCCCCACGTGCCGGATGTCGCTGAACATCACCGACACCCACCGCGCCAGGGAGGAGCGCCACCGGGAGAACCTGAACGAGAACCTGGCTCCCGTCGCCGTGGCGGAGGGCCAGCCTCCCCTGCACCAGCACAATCACTTCTTCCACTTTGACGGTGGGTTTATCTGCTCTCGCGAGGCGACCGGGGAAGGGCCTTCCCTGTGGTGGCACCCCAGTTGTGGAATTGGTTCCCCAGAGGGGCTCGCCTGGCGCCGTCACTTGATTCTTTTTGGCGCCAGGCCAAAACCTTTTTCCTTTTCCCAGTGTTTTAAGACCTGACTGTTTTAATTGGGGTTTTATTATTAGTTAAATTTTAGCTTGCTGTGTTTTAAAATGTTTACATGTTGTATTGTTAAACCGTCCTGAGATGGGATGGTCTAGAAAAGTTTTGAATAAAATTAAAATAAGGTAAGATAAAATAAAATAAAATAAAATACTTGGCTGTGGCATGCAGAGGGCCATGCAAGGCCTCGTCTTCGAGAAACAAAATCTTTCCGCAGCAGCAGGGAGCCCCAAGGGGGGCTGCCCCCCCCCGGAGTTGCAGCAAGCACAGCCCGCTCTGAACAGGCTGCAGAGCTGCAGCTGGCAACCCTGAAGGGATCAAAGCAGGGCGATTCAGCCGCCGGGGGAGCAGCAGCAGGGCCATGCTTTTCTCTCCGGAGAAAGCCCCTCTTTTAGGTGTCTTGTACAAGTGTGTTCCAGCAGTAATCAATGGCTGCACGTTACCGGTTTCTAACCAGGTTCCATTTACTGTATCCTAAGCTGGGGAAATATGGGTGTGTTTTCCACATTTTATTATGAGCTACCCTGTTTGCACTCTCTGAACCACTAAACAAATCATGGCATGGGAAGGTTGGCTACTGAGCTAGCATTCCTTTGATTATGTTTGTTTCTGCCTTCACTCTGAATTAATATTTGGGTGAGTCATGAGCGTCTATTAGCTCTGGGCGAAACACGCAGTATACATCTCTGTGCCTGGATTTTCAGCGCGTTTTCCTTTTGAAATATGCCTCGGGGGCTGTCAGGCTGTTGGGGTGAATGGCACTGGGGTGAAGTGAGCGACAGCCAGAGACAGGGCCTTCTCCATGGTAGCCCCTGGCACTGAAGTGCTATCCACGGAGCAGCTTGCCTTTCCAGGGTCAGTGAATCACCATGTAATTGACAGCCTTCCATGCTGTGCTGCATTTGAGGCATCATTTCAATGGATTGTGGTAAACTACCCACAGAACTCCTGCTGTTGAGCAGCATAGAAATTAAACGAATAAATACAATTTGGACACTGCAGCATTTCTGTAGGAGATGTTACAGATGGGCCCCGGGCAAGTCTGTGTGCATGCCAGGCTAAGTCCTGGCCTTGAATGCACAAGCTCTCCTTGCATCGATGTGGGGAGGTTTTTCCATTAATCAAATCCCAGGGCCCTCTTCCTCCTTAATCAGCTTATCAGCTCCCACATCAGTTCAGGGTTTTATGTTGTGCTTCCCAGCTAAACAACAGCTAGTCAACAGCTCTTAATTTTCTCCTTTGTACAGTGGGAGCCATTTTGCAGGCATCTGTGCTTGTTGTAAACCATCCCGAGACCTTAGTAGTGGGACAGTCTATAAAAGCTTTCAATCAATCAAACAAACAGACAAACGAATCTAGCAACGTAGCGATGCTTGAGGGCATACTCACAAATGACGCCGAAATCTCACTTTTCCTCCTAGGCTCCCGCATCGCTAGCTGGCTGCCCAGTTTTTCGGTGGAAGTGATGCACACCACAAATATCCTCGGGATTGCGCAGGCCAGCAACTCCCAGCTCAATGCCATGGTAAGCCCCTCTCCTCTTTCGCAGCGCATGGCTGTCCGGCAGGGGCGGGGAGACTGTTTCAGCCTTCCCGCATCGCTGGCGCGCAGCCCCACGGAAGCCGAGGCCCCTCTCGCATTCCTCTGGGCCCGTCGCAGCATCCAGAGTCATTCAGTGTAGGAAAAGGGCGAGTCCAGGCAGGCAGCAGCACGCGTGGTGCCGAGAAGGCACAGAAAGGGACGCGTCCCTCCCTCTCTGGTAACAGGAGACCCTTGGCCATCCTGTGATGGTGCTCCATGGGAGATTCGGGACAGAAGAAGGAAGCGGATGGTGAAGCTGTGGGATTCACTTCCACGGCGATCCCTAATCATTTTGATGGTGATTGAGCAGGTTGATTCCTGGAGGAGGAGGAGGAGATCCGTGGCTGTACGCTAGGGTCAGAGGCAGGATGTCTGGGTACAGGAGTTGCTGGGGAACATGGGCTGTGGCACTCATCTCCTGCTTGTGGGTTTCCCACAGCCTGAACTGTTGGTCTCTGGGATTCAGTTACTTTAATGTATCTGTGAGAAGGTTCGTGTTTAAAGCCAGAATAAGGTAAGAGAGAGAGTGCAGACTGGAGGCTTGGGAGATTGGGTTCCAGCCCCTCCGTGGTTCCATGAAGCTTTGGGCCAGTGACTCTCAGCCCAGCCTACCTCACAGGGTTGTTGGGAGGGTAAGGGGAGAAGAGGAGGACTGGCAAGCCCCCTTGAGCCCCATAGAGGGAGAGAGGTGGGATCTAAATATAGTAAAATAAGCAGGATGCAGCAGTTGGCTCCCTCAGCCAGGATCCCTTTTCCCTTGCATTTCCAGGCCCATCAGATTCAGGAGATGTTTCCGCAGGTCCCCTACCACCTCATACTTCAGGACCTGCAGCTCACGCGCTCTGTAGAAATAACAACAGACAACATCCTTGAGGGGCGGATTCAAGTGCTTTTCCCAACACAGGTTGGTCAACTCAAAGGCCGGAGCAGCCAGCGGTTCCTTTCCCAGCTTGCCTCTAGTCTGTGTGCGTTCAGCATGCGGCCCATGTTCCGCAAGGGTCACTTTCTGAAATAGTTACCCTGAACTGTGAAGTTTTTTGGCTGTGTTAGTGCTAACATCCAAAGCAGCTCAGGGCCAGGTTACCTGAAGGATCGCCTCTTCACGTACCTACTTGCCCAGACCGTGAGGTCTTCTTTGGGGGTCCTTCTCCAGGAGCCCTTTCCAAAGGAAGGGGCGGATGGCTACCAGGGGAAGGGTCTTTTTGGTTGTGGCACCCCGGTTGTCGAATGTGCTCCCCGAAGAGATAGTGCCGCCTTGGTATTATTTTTGAAGCCAGGTGGAAACCTTTTTATTTTCACACTATTTGAATAGTTTAAGTTTTAAACTTTGATTTTATGCATTCCATTTTATTCTGCCCTGTTACTGTGCCTGTATGCTGAATCAACTGCAGGGGGTTTTGTTCTTTTGTTTTTGATCTTTCATTTTATTTTAATTGTTGTTCTAAGGAGCGTTGTGCATCACCCTGTGATTTCAAACAAAGAGCGATATAGAAATGCTTTAAATCGATGGGTAAAAGCTTGGCTTCATGTCTGCTTTTATCTAGGGTTCGTGCTGGATTTTTTTTTCAGTAGGACATCCGAGACTGAAAGAAAGTGGCTCAGGAATTGTGTGTAAGGGTGACTTTTGAGCGTGGGGTCCGTGAATATTTCTGCCGGGTCATAGCATTGGAAGGAACCGCCAAGGTCATCCAGTTGCACACCCAGTGCAGCAACTTTGCGCTTTAACCTTCTTAGTTGGGGTTTTCTTTGGACTGTACATTGATTAATTCCCTTTTACTTGTGCTTACAGCGTTCAGATAGCATCAGGCCTGCGCTGAACAGCCCATTGGAAAGACACAACCCTGATCAAGAGGATGCTGAGGAAGTCACCCAGGTAATCCGGTGAGGGAGCCGTGGGGCTGCCAAGTTACATGCACACAAACATCAGCCCAAGCCCTCGGAAGCGCTCCTGGTACATCCTCTTCCTTCGTTTTGCCCCGGTGGATTTGGAAACAGCATTCAGGCAACATCTGGCTAAAGGAGGAAAGGGACTGCTGTTATATTTATGATTATTATTAAGTGTAGTTGTCTGTTCTGGGACTGATGGTGAAGGTTTTTAGTTCTTTCTCTGGTGCTTTGTGGATGGGGAGAACTCTAGGGCCCTACACAGAAGGTAGGAGTATTTCTTGAGCAAGGATGGTTGAGTATGGAAGGGCACACCTCTAGGTACCTGTTCCCCAGGTTGATGTGAGGAGGACATCCCACATTGGCTTATCCCCTGCTATTGCCTAGGAAAAGCAAGGACCGGATGAGTAAACTTCTGAGTAACCTGTTTGTCTTAGGTTATTTCTTGCCACTTCATCCTGGCTTTTTGCCCAGAACAAAGCTAACTTTCACGTCCTCCTTCTCAAACTCTCTCCTACTCTCTTTCAAATGCGGATCTTTCGTACCTGTTAAAGTCTTAGCATTTCCTTTCCCTTCAAAAAGGACTCCCCTATCTTCTCCGCTCCATCTTCTTCATGGCCCTTGTCACAATAAAGACCCATTCCCTCCTGCCTGCCAGGCCGACAAAGACCCGCTGGAGCTCACGGCAAGGTTTGAAGAGGTGGCAGAGTTTTACGAGGCCGACACCGAGTCCGTGGAGACGGAAAACTTCGAGGCGAGAGGGAGCCGCTTTTCCAAGTCAGCTGATGAAAGGCAGCGGATGCTAGTGCAGAGGAAGGAAGACTTGCTCCTGCAAGCGCGCAGGTGTGTGTTGTGCACGTGAGGGAGCTTTTGGCCTGTTGTCGCAAGGCTGCCGCCTCCAAGTCACCCAAGGAGCAAGGGCTGCTCACAGCTCCTGCCTTCCCTTTCCTGCCCTTTCCTTGAAGTTGACACACATTTTCTGGGGCGTTTGGTGACATGTTCTTGGTCCGATGTCCCCATCAGATACTTTTATAATGTGCCAACAGTGGCAAGTGTGCATATTCTGCTGCAGGGTTTCTGGAAGTCATAGAAACAGAGCGAGTCAGAAGGGGCCTCCTGGGCCATCTAGTCTGACCCCCGGCTCCAGCCGGCTCCGCTCACAACATGCCCACCATGTGCATGTCCAGCCTGTTCTTGGACACCCGCACCAATGGGGCCTCAACCACCTCCCGTGGGAGCCCATTCCACACCCTCGGGGTCCTAACTCAGGAAGTGCTTCCTGGCATCCAAATGGATCCTTGGCTCCTTGAGCTTTGCTCCGTTGGAGCGCATCCTGCCCTCCTCTGCAGGAGAGAACAGGCCTCTCCCCACCTCTGTCCAGGAGTAGATGCAAATCCTGTTTTGTTGATTCTTGCGGGCAAGACTTTAAACATCACTGTGACACTTGAGAGAGGAAAGATAACTCAGTGACCCATGGATGAAGAGAATGATGATGAGGCATCACATATCTATACTGCCCATAGCCAGCTCTCTTGGGGAGGGTCACAACATTTAAATCCCCCATCCAGATTTCAACCGCCAGACTCTGCTTAACGTCCAGGATTAGGCAGGACCAGGCATTTCAGGCTCTGCCAAAGCTCATGCAGATCTGGGAGGACCAGTTGAAGCAAAAAGTAGGGAGATGTTCTGATCCGTGCCAAATGGGCACAATTGATGAGAAGAGTGCCAAAGAAGAGAACCGGAGTGGATCAGCGGAAATGTGAAATATGCAGGTTTATTATTTTGATTTTGAAGGGCATGGCATCCTGCGCATTCCAGCTCGTCCTTTCCGGAATGACTGCAGGCTGTGAACTCAGCAATATTCCGTGTGCATATTCCGGAGTCAAGGTCATGGCTGAGCTATGCATGTGCCCTTCCTAACCCACTCCGCGCGCGCGTGTGTGTGTGTGTGTGTGTGTGTGGTCGTCCTTGGATCACAGAACCAAACGTTCATGTCAAAAGTTTCACGAATAAAAAAAGGAAACAGCTTGTACGGTTCTGGAGGTGTACTTGAAAACATATGCGCACTGAAATCTTAGAATCAGGAGCTGTGACTGGCTCAAAATTCTGCACAGGTTCTTGTCACATTCTGGCTAGCAAAACCAGGATAGGCGATGCGCGGCATCCAGTGCTGTAGCCAAGAAGCGCAAGTGTTCTGCAAGTGCATGAGTTATGCAGGTCACAGGATTCAGCGTCCCTTGGTGCAGGATCATACTTGGTGCAAGATTTTAATTTGAGAGGCTCACACACTGCTACCGAACCAGCTCTGCTGCGGGCAAGGGTTGCATCCTGTGGCCAGGAGGAGCCTCGCCCATTTCCCTTCACCCATTTTGCTTTTCTTCTTCCAGGCGTTACCTCAACAAAACCTCCGATGACTCTGGTGCCGGCCTCCCCGTGCCGGCCGAGGGAGCAACCTCCGACCCCGTGACTTTGCGCCGCCGAACATTGGCGGCAGCAGCAGAGCGCAGGCTCCAGAAGCAGCAGCCGTCCTAACGCTTCCCAGCAAGTCCAGTTCCTTTCCCATACAAGCAGCGTTCCCCACGACCCCGCACTCTCCATGGCGGTGCGAAGGAGCCCTTCCGAGTGGGGCAAACCGCACGAAGGACCTGTGAGCTGGGTGCATCTCCCCTGTATAACGCATGTGGTACCTAATAAGTGTTTGGATGGCTGACACATTAACCCTCCTTGGGTATTGTTTTACTTTGTTTTGTTTTTTCCAAGCGACACACATTTCCTTCTTTGCAAACCAAAAATGCAGTCCTTTAGAGTCCTGAGCCAGGCCTGCTGCTCCGTGGAGTGGCAGGCGACGGTGGCTGCACAGCCACGAGCTTCCCGCATTGTCCTGTTTGAGCTTTTCCAAGCGGAAACCACGTCAGTGAGAAACCGAGAATGGTATTACTGGCAAAAGCACTCTTCTGACTAAGCAAACATCTCGAGTAAGCCACCGCACTTCTCAAGAATCAGTGCTTAGATCTTTCCTGGCCTGTGCACAGTTTTTTGGAGAAAAGTAATGCTTCTAAGCTTCGGAGCACGGAAGCGGAGCACCCCGGGAGGAGGTTAAAGAGATTTGGAGTGGTATTAAGCAAGCTGTTCTCTCGGCTTCAGCATGGACAGATCGACCATTTCTGGATTTGTTTCTGTGTTTATTTTTTTTTTCCTATGGATTTCATTGCAGCAATAGGCATGTGGCCAAAGGGAGAAAAGAGGAAGGGGGCAGCTAATGAGTGGGCTTCTTAATTCAGCATTTCATTAAGCAGGTAAACCGTGAAAAGGGTGTTAAGGTTGGTTGGGCTTGGAGGAGGCTGCGGAGGGCTGCGTGGCGGAGTGGGAGCTGTCCAGTAAGAGCTGAAGCGAGGCAAGGCAGCATGCGAAAGTCTATTTTTATAATCTTACACTCTGCAATAATAGTTATGCCCATTATCTTAATCGGATGTACAGATCTCAGACAGCTGAGAACTACTAGACATTAGCTTAGGCATGGTCAAACTTTGGAGTATTGCAAAAGTCTGGTGGATACATTCAAGACCTGGTCTTAGCCTACATGAATGAGTTTTGTGATGGCAGCCCAGTAATTTTTAAGTGTTTGAGGTGTATCGTTGTCCTTCAGAAGGTGCCCAGTATTAAAATATATGACTAGATCCATCTACTGTATTGGAAATTGTCTTTTTACTGAAGGTTTTTAGGGTGTTTGAAGGTGAGCATCAGAAATTGTGTGTTTAACTGAAGATAACTTACTTCGATAAACCACATTGGAAAGCCTTACCTTGCAATGCTGTTAGTAATCTGGGGGGGGGGGGGTTTTTTTGTGATGCAGTTTTGCTCAGAGCACACTCTTTGTTTTTATTGTTTAAAAAAGAGGAATAAAATTCTTGATTAGTGTTGGAAACATTTCAAAACGTTTTTCCTGCCATGTGCACATTTTCTTCTTTTGACACCCTCTCCCCCAACTCTAACTCCGCTAACAGATATTTGGGGCAAAAGTTGTCTCACAACACTCTCCGAGAGGTAAGTTGCACCTCTGGAAGATACGCATCTGTGAATACGCTATTCCGGAAACATGGATAGAAGGACCAGTTGTGGGGGAGCTTGGGCAGGCGGAGTCTTGCACCCATCCTGCTTGAGGGATCCTGTGGGCAGCTGGTTTGTGTCCCCCCCCCCCCCAAGTATGGAGCACTGGACTAGGTCTAATCCATCAGGACTTACGTCCTTCTGTTCTAGATCTGGTGGTGGGATCAGTTTCTCAGCAATTTGTATGGTCCTCCCACTTACTTTGACCACGTCATGTGATCAGGCTCCTTAGAACACGACATAATAGAATGCTCAGTGGCAAGAGAAAACCAGGTCGCCAAAGAGCAAGGTGGTTAGGCTTCTTCAGAGAGGATGCAGGCCAGAGCCAGTTATGAGCCATAACTCATAACTAAACATGAGCCAACAATGCCATGCAGCCGCCAAAGGGGCAAACACTATTTTGAGATGCATTAACAGAAGTATTACTTCCAAATCACTAGTAGTAGCAGTTCCTCTATACTCCTCACTAGTCAGACCTCCCCTGGAATCCTGTGTCCAGTTCTGGGCACCAAGATTTAAGAAAGATGCAGGTGAGAAGGGACTCGGGATCTGTTGGTGACATACAGGTACGTGAGGGGGTGTCACACGGAGGTGGGGAGAGACCTGTTCTCCCCTGCAGAGGAAGGCAGGATGTGCTCCAGCGGAGCAAAGCTCAGGGAACCCAGGTTCCATTTAGATGCTGGGAAGCACTTCCTGACAGTTGGGACCCCAAGGGTGTGGAATGGGCTTCCACGGGAGGTTGTTGTGGCCCCATCGGTGTGGGTGTTCAAGGATAGGCTGGACGTCCACATGGTGGGCATGTCATGAGCGGAGCCGGCTGGAGCCAGGTCAGACTAGATGGCCCGGGAGACCCCTTCTGACTCGCGCTGTTTCTATGTGAATTAGAAAGGACTCAGAGGAGGACAACAGAAATGACCCAGGGTTTGGAAACAGCTCTCTGAGGGGAGACAGAGAACTGGGCATGTTCACTCTTGAGAAGGGAAGACTGAGGGGGGACATGATACCCCTCTAGAAGTCCCTCAAAGGCTGCCACAAAGTGGGAGGTCAAGATCTCTTCTTGCTGATGCCAGAGTGCAGGACACGGAAGAATCGTTTCAAACTGCAACTTCCCAGATCCAGGCTGGACTTCGGGAGAAGCTTCCTCTCTGTCAGAGCAACACGACAGAGGGACCAGCTGCCTGGAGAGGTGGGGGGCTGTCCCACAATGGAGACATTCAAGAAGAAACTGGGCAGCCCTCTGAGTGGGAGGGTGTGACTTGTCCTGCAACAGCAGGTGGTTGGACCTGATGGCCTTCTTGGCCCCTTCCAGCTCAACTATTCTGTGATTCTATGATAGTTCAGCTGCAAGAGGTGGCACGGGATTGAAAACTGGCAAGATTTGGCCCACAAGATGGTTTATATTTTGTTCTGTTGTTGATTTATATCTTCTGGTTTTTGTTTTGTTTTTTTTTCTTGTAAGCTGTCCCAAGACGCTTGTAATGACAGCCTATAAAAGCATTTAATAAAATAAACAGGCACGACTGAACAGAACAGAACTCACTTCTCTCTGCTTCCAAGGGGCAACTTTATGCATAGATTCTCTATTAAGCCAACCTACATCAGTCACCTGAAGGGTGAGAAAACAAATAGTGATCCAGAAAGGACCGAGTGTGCTGCTCCACGGGGTTTCCTCCAAAATAAATTCTCCACTCTTCATGTGGAGATCTCATTTGCCTCATTGCCTGCCCTGCTGCTAGTTGTATTTTCTGGAGGGACTTCAGTGCGTATTTGTGAAGCTAGTCCTCAGGCAGCTTCCTGCCTTGGCACATCACAACAACCCAGCAGTGTTGGTCCTTGCAGTGCAAGTACTGCTCCAGTGGGAGCAGCTGAACAGCCCTGTGTGCAAAGCTGGAATCCTGCGCTTTCAGGGGACGAGACAACAGAATCAGAACCCAGAAGCACATCCTGAGTTTCAACCCAGGGTCTGCTTTTCCCCAGCAGAGTTTCTCTGGGTTATTCAGCCCTTCCTCCCTGCAGAGGCAGCTTCCGGCAGCGGGAGGTCGTGTGCTTGCTTGCGCCCTCGTTTCCCCTCTGCTCACAACCACCAAGGCTTCAAAAACAGGACAAAACCCACTGCTGTTTATTGTGATGCATGGACCGGGCCACCGAGTTTGTCTCAGCCGAGAGATATTTTTCCTGGCCATCTGGAATCCATGGTCTTAAATGGCTTCAACAAGAGGTGTGTGGACTGTCCTGATTGCTTTGGCCAGCTGGGGGGTGTAAAATGTATTAAAGAAAGGAGCAAAGCCAAGCACTAATGTGATGTCAAGTTAACTTGAGCTGACCGACACGCTGCAGCATTCTGCAACTCTCTTGTACGACTGCTAACTAAACGTTTTTACTGACCCTGCCAAGCAGAGCGGCCAGAATAAGATCCATCCAACTGCCACCACGAAGCTCCTTAGCGGTTGAGCTGGTTCGGAAGCCCTTGAAAAACGAGGGAGAGCCAAGTCCGTTGGTTTCAATTTCTGTCATTTTTCCATTTTCCAAATTTGTCCCAAACGTGGGGATGTTTGTTAAAAGTCTGCATGGAAATTTATAAGCTTTCTTGTTCACATTTCTCCTAATCCATGCATTTGGTATATGTTTGCACATTCATTGGAAGCCGTTTTCCTAAAAGAATGCACATTTGAACATTTTAAATAATGACTTTAAAAAAAAATTGAGAACTTCATTGCACTGGTTGGAAATGGCTGAATTTCAAAGAATAAGGTTTTGTTCCAAAGTATGAAACTAGGTAAGATCGCAGTGAATGTGAAAATGAATTTCTTCCCCTTTCTCAAACATTCATGCTGTAACTTCCCAAACGAAACAGAATTGATGCACATTTTGCTCTTGGTGAAAAACCAAGAACAAAATGTTCTATTGAACCCTTTGTTCTATTGGACCCTTGCCCATCTTGGCTAATTAACAACGCCAAGCACGGGATAGGGACCTGGATCTTGGAAGTGGTTAACGCCTCGCTGAGGGACAGCCGGGTACCTGCCCCTTTAAAGGAGGCGGTAGTCCGACCAGTCCTGAAGAAGGCGTCCCTGGATCCAGAGATGGCCACTAATTATAGACCAGTGGCCAACATCCCGTTTCTGGGCAAGGTGCGGATGGTGGCGGGACAACTCCAAGCACTCTTGGATAAAACGGATTATCTGGACCCATTTCAGTCCGGCTTCAGACCCAGGTACGGAACTGAATCTGCCTTGGTCGCCCTGTACGATGACCTGTGCAGGGAGAGACAGGGGAAGTGCGTCCCTGTTGGTTCTCCTGGACCTCTCAGCGGCTTTCGATACCATCGACCATGGTATCCTTCTGGATAGGCTGGCGGGACTGGGAGTAGGAGGCATTGCTTGGCAGTGGTTCCGCTCCTACCTCGACGGCTTATTCCAGAAGGTGGTGCTGGGGACTGTGGCTCTGCGCCATGGCAGCTATGCCCTGGAGTACCACAGGGTTCCATCTTGTCCCCCTTGTTACTTAACGTCTATATGAAACCACTGGGAGAGGTCATCAGGAGGTGTGGGCTGCAGAATCATCAGTATGCTGATGATACCCAGCTCTACCTCTCTTTTTCAACCGATCCAGGTGAGGCAGTGGCTGTACTGAACTGGTGCCTGGCCGAGGTAATGGGCTGGATGAGGGTCAATAAACTGAAGCTCAACCCAGACAAGATGGAGGTCCTGTTGGTTGGCGAATCAGGCTTCAGGGAAGGGGACCTGAACCTAGTCCTGAATGGGGTTGCACTCCATCTTAGGGACAAGGTCCGCAGCTTGGGAGTGCTCCTCAACCCAGAGCTTTCATTGGAAGCTCAGGTGACAGCGGTGGCGAGGAGCGCTTTCTTTCAGCTTCGGCTGATTCATCAGCTGCGTCCCTACCTGGAGACTCCAGTTCTCCATCAGCTTCACTGCCTCCCCATTGAAGTCCGGGCCCAATTCAAGGTGTTGATTATGACCTATAAAGCCCTTAACGGCTTGGGTCCTGGTTATCTGAAGGAGCACTTACGTCCATATATGCCCACCTGCCTCTTGAGATCAGCAGGAGAGGCCCTTCTCCGGGAACCCTCCATGAAGGATATTAGGAGGGTAAGTACTCGGAGGAGGGCTTTCTCTGTGGGGGCACCCAGTCTATAGAATGCGCTCCCCAGAGAGGTCCACCTGGCGCCGCCATCATTTGTTTTTTGGCGCCAGGCGAAGACCTTTTTATTCAAACGCTATTTTAATTGTTAAAATTATTTATTTATTTTATTTTTTGGGCCAGGTCGACTCATATTAAATTGTTTTATTCTGTCCTTATTTATTTATTATTGTGAGCCGCCCCGAGGCTTTGGCGAATGGGACAGCATAGAAGCCTTCTAAATCAATAAATAATAAACAAAACCCAGTAAATTCCTCCTCCTGCAGAGCACAGCTGCTGATTCTTGCCGTATTCCAACACGGTTCATCCCAGAGACAAAGGATCGAGTCCATCGAGTCCTAACATTTTATATGAGTGGGTCAACGTATTCCAGACGGTGAATGTCCACATTTCCCCCCTACTGGGAGCAGAAGGTGCTTGGAGTTCCGTTCTCAGATCCTGAGTAAGTATGTCTTACAGCCCATCTGCTCATTCTTTTTTCTCCTGAGTCAAGCGGGGCAGGAGGGCTGGGGGCAATGCGTGGGCAGAAGGTGTCTCTCCCGTGGTTTTGGGCTTCAGCTCCCAGTAGCCTCATGCCTGGCACCTCTTTGTTACCTTCCTGTTGGGGCACCTCTTCCTATTCCACCTGGGCCATGTGCTCCTCTCCGGCCACCCTTG